GTTACGTCTTAGGGTCACTACCAAAATCCCAAAGTAAACAGTTCTGTAAGTCATCAACATCGATGCTGACCTCAATAGTTTCGCTGGAAATACACTAGCTGAAGGCGCTCGGTCACACATCCAAACCAGGTCACGAGTGAGTACTCCGTGTTGCGCATCTCCTACAACCATCAGCCAGCTTACACTAAACGCTTCTCGATATACTGATAGCATTTAAAATATATTTCCGAACCTCATCACTTATGACTTCTGATTTGATTGGGTTGGCATACTTAGATTGTTACGGGTGAAAACATTATCAAACTCCGAATACTAGTGGCATCTTTGTGACTGTTTAAATTTCTGTAAAGTCCTATTGGAATAGGATGCGTTGAAAATTGTTGAGTTCCTCATATAAGCAACGTTAGGTTGGTAACAAGAGTAGTGGTAACACAGTGGTTGTTGCTAGTGAGTACCCCACGTTCACTTGAAAAGAGAAACCGGACTGATAATGAACGGGTCTTTAGTTAGGTTGTGGAATAGAACAGTTGGAGCATGAGGTTGTCTTTTATCAAACACAAAATTTCTCAACATTCAGTATAAAATAATTAAACGTTTAGTGCCTATACAGAATAAGTTAGCGAATAGTTACTCGGGATTTAATGTTTTGACGTTACTAACATGTTTGCGACCGACTCTTAACTAATAAATCCAAGTCGTTGCAGTTGTACGATATGTGTATGTGGTGTTTGAATGACCTGATGATACCTTTGTACTTGTTGAATGCTTGATTTCGAATTCCAAATACAATACATTCGTTCGTGCTTGTGTCTTACTTCTTAATTCAATTGCGTTATTTCTGGGATTTCTAGTTCATACTACAATTCAAATAATTCAAATATTATACTGGCGTCGTAATGGAGCCTGCAATGGAAAAGTTAGATGTTCGTTCAAATTCTGAGGCTTTTGAGGATTACTTTGAAAGGTTCGAAATCTGGGTTATGACTAAGGATGATGAGGATGTTAATATTGTGGCACATTTCCTCACATTCGTTGGAAAAGAAGCATACAGTTTATTAAGAACTCTGGCTATGCCGGAAAAGCCTATCTCGCTTCCTTATACAACTCTCAAGGAACTGCTGCTAGACTATGTTATTTATACAAATTTCGAATGCGGTATATGAGGGAGATCTCGTAAAATGATTCATGAGGATATAAAAAATTCCACTACATTACTACGTCATCCCAACCCAGTGCATACTCAAGGTTATGCAGATAATTCATTGAGTTTGGATGCAGTTCACGAGGATGGTGACAAGTTTGGTCAGTGTTTGTCCTGTTGCAATTTCCACTCTTTTAATCCATGTAAATTTCGTAATTCTAAGTGCTCTAAATGTGGTGATATTGGACATATTCAGTCAGTCTGTAATACTAATGTTCATCTTATTGCAACTAATATTAAGACTTTTAATTCTGATTCTACTAAGTCGAGTATTTATAATGATGATTTATCTTTATCAACGATTTCAAAAGACAGTGCAGAGTCATATGGCAGTTCAGAGTTAAATGAAATTCAGAGTTATTTCGGGACGGCAGTTCCTAATCAACCAACTTATCAGATTTCTCATGTTATTGTACCAAATGTGGCTTTTCCTAATGATTCACATATTTCTGACGAAATTTACAAATCTGAAGAAAATATGTTGAGTGACCATAATTATGATCGAAAACCTGATGTAGTTTTGATAGATGCTAATTTTTCTAATGATCCATTACTCTGCAATGACATTCTTAATGAATTTCATGAGCATAATTCAGAAGAATCAAATCCTGATGTCATATCATATATTACCTATCCTCAAAATGCATTTGATCCTTGTTGAAAACCTGTTCAATGCGAAACACGAGTACTAAGTGCCCTCGATTTTGATTACAATTCGGATGATTTAATATCGACTGATGTTCATCCTTACCACAAATCCACTTCTAATGCATACTCTAATCAATGTGTGAAATATGTTTTAAATGAAGCCACACTATTCATAACTTGGGGATATAAAGATCCAACATTATTTCATGGGGGAGGATAGTGTTGAAAAATCTGTGGTTCCAATTCTAGATATTAATGATTTCGGTACAAAACTGACATGCTGACTGTATACAATTCCAGGTGAGTCTGTTCCGATGTCGTTTGTTAATTCCAATACTAATGAGCACATTCTAGATACTACAAAGTTTTTATCCAATACAATGTCGGACAGACTCGGGATGAACCTAAAAGGAAGACATACAACCATTACAGACACTTATGCACCTATTTAAGCTGTGGCAGATGTGGTGTTTGAATTGACTAATGATACCTTGGTACTTGTTGAATGCTTGATTTCGAATTCCAAATACAATACATTCGTTCGTGCTTGTGTCTTACTTCTTAATTCAATTGCGTTATTTCTGGGATTCCTAGTTCATACTACAATTCAAATATTATAGTGTACTGTAAATTGGTTTCGATATTCATACTGTTATTAGTCGAAAGTAGAAAGTCAGCTGGTGTCATAAGAAATCGCGAGGGTCTAATTTGAGATATGTCCATATTTAGCAGATCAGAATTGTAGTCCGGGAACAAAAGAAATTGCAAATCCGTCTCATCAGTGTCCTAATAAACTGCTACAAAATTGCGTGAATTGAATTCCGTAGATTTTCGGAACTTGTCAACAATATTAGTATGACGGAAACCTTGAGGTGGACTTTTTCACTTTAAATCTCACATAAAGCTTTTTGTAAATGATCCAAAATTTCACATATAATGGCCCGTAATGAACTAGATCGTCTTCGCGAACCTTTCAGATTTATTAGATAAATTTAAAATAGTTGAAATTGTCAATTGCCTAGTTCCCTTAGAAGAATCGTCCACTCTTCGCCGTACACTTTGGATAATTTCAGTTCAGCGACTAATATTCACACTTTATTAGACTGGCAACAGTTAAAAGACTAAGATTGTATGGTAATTTTACTCATGAGGTCTGGATGGGTATGAACACAAGCCTTCAGTGTGTATAAACAACGGAGGAGAAATCTAGAGAAAGATATGAATGTAATGATTTTGGCTGGATGAAGGACGAACCCTTTTATTATACGCTCTCCATGCTTGCATTTATAAATTATTATGTTTTCTTTCTAGGAATGTAATCTATCTATATTTGTAACAAAGTGTAGGTATCTGAAGCGCGTCGTTTCGCTTACTAGCCTACATAAAAGATATTTTTGTAAACAACCGTATGTACTGTTTTAGAAAGACACATGTCCAATAAAAGTGGAATATTCACATTAAGAGCAACGGAGGAAAATTCGCTAGCTTATTTAAAAGAGACTTTGAAAAATTCTCTTATACTTAATTTAGTGAAGAATACTACATAAAGTTTTATTCTTCAGTCCCTCCTGTAATTATTAGCAAAGCTCTCAAAAACTTGAAAAGTCAGAAGTAGCAAATTTATGCAATCAAAGACTAGTCCTTTCATTTCAAATACGGGAACTTATGAACCAGAAGTATGCAACTTATTTCTAGGGCAATCTGAGATAATCTGAGGTAAATCTGCCCGTCAGTCTGTATACATCCCCTACACACTGGACAGCGTGGACATTAAAGAACTCAATGTCTTTGGTCTGCTAAATAAGCTTGACATAGGCAAATCCACGGGGCCCGATAAACTGCATCCCTGGTCACTAAAGGAATTGGCTAACTTCAAGTATATGCTTCAACCTGTCCGTAACCTAAAGTCATTTACCAAAAAACTGTAAGAACGCCATAGTAACTCCTGTCTACAAAACAATTACGAAACATAAACCTGAGAATTACCGACCCGTTTGCCTGACTGGTGTTTTATTGTTAAAATTTTAGTAAAGATTGTTCAGAAGGAGCTTTTTAAGTATCTCGATTAAAATTGGATCCTTTCGGTAAAGCAGCATCGTTTTAGATTAGGTTATTTTTTGTCTCGATAACTTATAAGTCGCTCGTGAAAGTTAATGCTCTCTTAAGGACTGAAAAATACCTGTAGACGTAGCCTGTATTAACTTCTGCAGAGCTTTTGGTGAAGTTCTGCACAACTGGCTGTTATATAAGTTAAGAAATGTCAGGGTTGGAGGCAGTCTATTGATGTGGATAAAATACTTTCTAGCTTGGCGCCAACAAAGAGTACGAGTGAACTCCAAGTTGTTTAGCTGAGAAACTGTTCTTAGCGGACTGCCCCAGAGTACAGCCTTGGGGCCACTGTTATTCCTCTTGCATGTAAATGACCTCCCTCGTCTCTTATCATCATCGGTCTTTCTATATTCTGACGATGTTAAGATATGGAGAGCGATACGAAGTAAGGGTGATAGCTTAGGACTCCAACATGAAGTGGAGAAGTTATCCGAATGGTGTCAAACCTGGCAGTTGCTGATAAATACTTCCAAGTGCACTGTGATGCATATTGGTCTTCAAGGTGCAGATACATACACGATGAATAACACTGAGCCACCTGTTGTTCAGACGCACAATGATTTAGGAGTTATCGTTAGCTAGGACTTAAAGACTACTGCACACTGGCGTGCAGTAGTCGCTAAGGGTTTTATAACTGTTTGTTTAATACGTAGCGCCTTTAGTCATGTTGACGCTAAAACATTTTTGACTTTGTATACAGTATTCGTACGTCCTAAACTTGAGTACTGCATACAAGCAGCTAGACCCTGCCTAAGAAGACAGTAAGCCTTTGGAAAAGATTCAGAGAGCAGCAACTAAGCTGATTCCCGGAATAGCGAAGCTCCCGTATGATGATCGACTGGCCAAGCTAAATCTATTCGTGTTGTTATATAGAAGAACTAGAGGTGACTTGATTACAGTTTTCAAATTAATTAGTGATAAATTTGCACCAGATATGCCCTCATTTTTCTTGTCTTCCAAAACAGAGAATTTACGAGGATACTCTAGAAAAGTTCACAAGCCAGAACAAATTACTTGTCAGCTGACTATCGACTTTCCCATCGAATCATCAACGAGTGGAATTCATTGTCTCAGCACGTGATAGAGTCTCCTTGCGTCAACTGTTTCAGTGGAAAGTTGGATCAATCGAGAGACCGTCATTGCCAGGACTACCACAGGCCACCAAGCCTCCTGCCCTTTCCAAACTGAAAGTGAAATTAGCTCGTGACGAAGTAACTGAACATTGAAGTGGGAGCGTCAACCTATGCGTTACCGGGATGTCTTCACTGTCGTTTTTACCTCACTCTGTTTCTTCAGTTTCTGGACACAAAAGGAAGCATGAAAAAAACCATAAAAAATCCTCAAAAAGAATCAAGCGTAGTGAAGGGGTATATCGGTGTTTAATTCTCTATTTTTATAAGTCAGATGAAGAGCAAGTGTATACTGGGAATGGAGCCGTTTACAATGATCAGAATGAAGACACCAGAAGTCGATCATGCCCATACCTGGATACTATTAGGAGGAACATGCTGGATTTTGACTTTGAGAAGCTGTGTTCCGTTTCTTTATCTCACCTGAATGTCTACGCCTGTCTAATCTGTGGAAAGTACTTTCAGGTAATTTTATTCCACGTTTCTTCATAATGAATAGTAATGCATATGGTTCCTGCCAACAATTCAAATGTGTACTATTTGTTTTGCAGATGAAAACTTCGGTAGCTCTTGGGCGTCTTGGCTCTTGATAAATAAACTAGCTTTTGACCCTGCTAAATATCGAACAACTTCGAAAACCTTAATCTTGACTCCGAAAAATTTCCTTATTGTCCTGATGCCGTTTTTTCTTACCGAGTTTAGACTGGCAATCTCAAGATTGTCCATTGACTTTATTGTATCACTGTTTGCGACCACTTCAATTTTGCATAAACTGAATTTGTTACCTTACTTGGATTCCTGAATTGTACAGAGATTTGAGTTAATAATGTGTCAGTGTTCTACAGATCTGTTGTTCGTAGAGACTTGGTGAAACATTCCGGTAAGCTTTAACTGTGATTGTATTGACTGAAAATAGAAAGACTTTCATCCGTCCAATGTAACTTATATTTCAACAATACGTTTTCACACTTTTTGCCATCGTTGTATTGGAAATACCGATCTAGTTAGTTGATATTGACCGTGTGATACCTTGGTGATATCACTAGCCTTTGCACTGTGACTCAGCTATATTTACCTGTGCTTGGTCAGTGGGTTATATTAGGTGCTTGCGCAGTCGTTAAGGCACTTGGCTTTCAATCAATGGGTCGTCGATTCTAACCTCTCTCTGCCCACTTTACGTTGGGTATTTTGGTGTCATCACTAAGCCTCACACAAAAGTGTGGTTGAAAGTCTAGTGTATGAACGTTTGCGTGTTTAATAAGTTACGGTGTTTTGTTTTATTATGGCGGAACTGCATGATAGTTTATTCGTCACATCAAGTAAATTGAACCAACAGCTCCGTATGATGAATTGCATTTGAACACATTGGGATTCTCAATCAATCAAATTTAACCTAATCATTTCGTTTCTTAAATTCGAAACGCACAGTTATAAATGGAAATACTTATCATAAATGTTTTATATCTTAGGGTCGTGGAAATTCTACTCATGCATATACCCACAGTGTTAGTGAAAGCCATCACGTCTTCCTGAATTTAGAAACTCGACGGTTTTATTGCTTGCCCGATGATTATGAAATTTTAGATGGGTCATTGGAAGACATTACCTACCTACTAAATCCTACTTTCAGTACTCCCGAAATACTTGCTTTGGATAATTATTCGAAAATGGTCAGAGCATACAATGGTCTTACATATTATCCTGGGGTTGTGGGTCTCAATAATATCAAGGTAGGTTAATTTGTCAATGACAGTAATAAATCAAGTAAATAAATCAACCAAATCCCTGGTACTGATAACCCTCTATCTTCTGTTCAGGCTAATGATTATTGCAACGTCATATTACAAATGCTCAGTCATATCAGTCCATTGCGAAATTATTTCTTAGATATCAAAAACTTTGAGAACCTACCTTCTGTCTCTGGAGATCAAATGATGCTTTTGGTCCAAAGATTTAGTGAACTTATTCGAAAACTGTGGAATCCTCGAAACTTCAAAACCCACGTTTCACCTCATGAATTCTTACAGGTAAGCTTATTTCTCTCTTTCAGTTTTCTGATTTTTAGATAGTTCTTTATTTTCTTAGCAATGATGATATTCTTCGGTGTCATCCATATTCTAACAGGTTTTTAGCCGTACACAGAGTAAACGTAACTACTGCTTTTTTAATGATTTTTAACAATCTTAAGCTTTATCATTAAATTACCTAATAAGTATTGATCCTGTTATGACTTTCGGAATTATGCATTTTGACTCAGGATCTTGAGAACATCTAGGATTTATAGCTATGATTAGTTGTTTGAAATGCACAAAATTTAATTACTGAATTTAATAGTTAACCATAGGTCGGACGATGCCTCTTCCTACACAGGTTTGAGTATCTTGAAAAGGGTGGTTACTTTTTCACGCAATATTTATCTCTTAGTGTGTATTTGAACTTTACATTTGGCTTGTCCTTTGTCTTATTATTTTAATAATTCGTAAAGGTACTGCCAACTAACCAAATAATAAAGTCCTCAGTTTTCCTATTTGTATTAATAACGTTCTAGTTATTACCAGGTTTAATATCTTAACTGTTCAGTAATTAGGATACATACAATTGTGTTTTAATATAATGGGAATTTTTCAGCGACCAAAGTCTTGTGATCAACCCATTGCGTTGAAGGCACTCAATGAGTTCCTGAAGTATAACGCAAAGTTCACAGAAACGAAAACACCAAGTTCATACAACTGTGTTTTAATTAGGATGTGTTTAAAATTATATATCTTGTTTTTTCTTTCTCCTACAGGCAGTTGTGCTGTGCAGTAAAAAGCGTTTCCAAATCACTGAACAAGGCGATGCCATTGAATTCCTTTCATGGTTGGTTAATGCAATAGATAAAGCTTTAAGGATTAAAAAAATTCCCTGTCCCAGAGGCGCAGTTAATAAAACCTATAAAAGCATTGTTTCATCAACTTTACGAGGAAAAATGAGAATGTACAGTCGGAAAATCATGCCTGTAAACATGACGGATGAAGAAAAGGCTTCTCTAGCAGACAGTCCTGAATACATGGTATTGTATTTGTTTAAATATGGTATAACTGTTTTTCATAATGACTGATCTGTGTGAAAGGTTTCAGGCATAATTACTAATTCTGGCTGACGTCCAATAGGGTGGTTAGCGATTACAGATATCATATCGATGAAGCGTCTGCATGATGATTGTGAGCAGTAGTGACGAAAGAGATAAATAATAGTTTACGATCATTTGTTATGTTGCTTGTACAAAAGGCTTTCACTGTTTATTAATAGGAAAATTACTATGAAAAAAAAAGAAATCTACACATCTCTGCGAAAAATTATGAAGGAAAATTACTCTTGCTATGATGTCATAATTCTCTGCACAAATATGTGTTTAGAATAAAAATATTTGAAGAGTATTGCTCCTGTGTGTAAAATCGATGCTTGTCTGAAAAGCCGACGAATCTTATGATGCAACATAATTACCAAACCACCTCTTTTCTAATATCGTTTAATTAAGTTAAACACTGAAAATAAGCGGTGGAATATAGAGGTTTAACTATTTTGGAAAATCTAGTTGCTTATCCCTTTAAGGTATGGTACCAAAAACGTGTTCATTAGTTTTCATGAATTGTATTAATTTCAGGGTTAGTTGACTCAATCTGTGCTATATCTTTTGGCCGCCCATTGCACGTTTTAAAGCAAATAGAATAATCTGTTCTTTGAAGTGTTTTCCTAGTGATCTATTATGAAAATTATCTACATTGAATCACTTTCTCGTATTAAAGTATCCTGAACTTTTTCTAAGAACTTGATTATCTAATTACACATATGTATTCTAAGCGTATCTCACCAACTCATAACTGTTACATAGCCATTTGACAGGTCTATCCGACAAAGTGGGCGCCCCCTTCATCTTCGCCTGCACGAACATCAATTAGCGGTCAAACGCCATGACATATCCTCACTTATATCAATGTATGTGGACATACATTCGACTGGGAAAATGTTAAGATCTTGGATAGAGGGAATTCTGAAAACACAAGAGAACTTTTAGAAGCTTGCCACTCAGGTCAATCAGCAAACATTGAAATCAACCCAATTTATCAACCAATCACGAAAATTATGAACAAATATAGGGCCAAAAATCAAATAAATGCGAGGTACAATCAAAACAAAGAAGTGAACAATGATAAGTTAATAGTCAACAAAAACCAATCAACATTGACGCATACAGAACAAGCTGTGAGCCATATGTGGAGAAATCCGAACGGTTCACTCCCACTTGACGTTGGTGCTGATGACGTCGTGTAGAAGAACAACGAAGGCTTCACGACCAAACCATCCATCTCAGAAAACAAAACTTAACCAAGAACGTTATGTATTTGTCCAGAGACTTGAGTTGCAATAGTTCAAAAGTTTCCTAACGATTAGAAGGTTGCAGATATTTAGCGATCAAAAATAGAAGCCTTCCTTTCAGAAATACAGCTTGGTACACTTTTTAAGAGCTAGTGATCAACGTGACCATGACCTATCTTGTGCATAACGGACAACAAAAGATCCCTCATTTGAATATTTAGCATACCAACTTTTCCACGATTTTCTGAAGACTGGGACCAAAGTGCTGTCTAACAAACATATGTGCTGTCAACAAAATTTACATAAAATGCCAGATACCAGTAGTAATTGAGACAAGTCGGTTGTACCATGTATCTTTTTATATGTAAGCTACTGGTAGTTTCCCCTTACTATGAGAAATTTCCATTTTTCACATCACAATATCTTAGTATTATCCAATTCTCGATAATTTTGTCAGTATTTCTTCTTTTCCAGACTTCAATATCAGACATAAATTTCTTCTATCTTACGTGTGACTTACCCCCACCTCCACTATATCTAGATGAATTTAAGGAAAACATCATTCCACAAGTTTCATTAGCTACACTACTTTCGAAATTTAACGGAGTTACGGAAAAGGAATACAAGACTCATCGTGATTCTACGTTGCGTCGATTTGAGCTTCGTCGACTACCTCCTTACTTAATTCTTTACATGAAGAGGTTTGTTAAAAACATCTTTACATTGGAGAAGAATCCAACGATAGTTAACTTCCCCATTAGAAGTATTGATTTCGGTGAATTGTTGGCCCCCGAATTTCGAGCTAAACATCGGTATGCTTAACTGTTTTACCTAACGTTACTTTTTAATCACTTGACTATATAATGTATTTTCACAAACCAATCAACTGTAGCAGGTCAATTATCAACAAGAGTCCGAGCTTCATATGTAAACATACAATTTAAAACGGGGATATTTACTGCTGTGGTGATGAAATTTCTGTTGTTTTAATTACCTGTAGATTGTAGCTTTTCAGAAGACGATATGAATGTTGGCCAAAACTTGAGCAAATATGGCTTAAACGTATAACGTCTTCAGAAAACTATGTACTGATGTTACTCAATGTTGTAAGGGCTATTTCAAACATCTTCAAGTTTACAATTAACTCGCCACTCTCAATGATAGCTATTCCAGACAAAATGTTTTTTATTACTCTCCATTAAATCAAGCTAAACAGATTATCGTGTATCTATCGTTACAATGAGACTTTTGACTTCAGGTTTGTTAGAAACACTGTTCGTACAAAGTCAAAGGATCTTGAACACTAGTCTCTGTTTGCAATTAATTCAATGAGCAAAGATGTTAACAAGACTATATGGATTGAGATAGTAAACTAAAAGTTATACAGATTTTCTAGACTTGGAGCACTTTAACTTTATGGTTGGTATCTGTGCACATGATATACGTATAATCCAGTGGCATTTTACAATTTGAATCGTGAAACTTTAGTTTGTTGTAATAGTTCCTGTCATGTTTTTAGAGTAGTGACGTAAGGGAAAGCAACAACCGTTTGGTTTTTGAGCTTTAGTCATATAAATATCATTAAGATTGGTTTCTTCATAAGCACTATTGTCTTGATACATTTTGTCTCAGGATAAAACAATCTTGGATGGATATCAAAACAACAAACTCCTAACACTCATCTTCCGTTTTCAATCTTTATTATTCGATAAATTTATCACTGTCTACTTGTAGCATAAACCATAATTACCTCCATTTCAACTTCGTTTAGGAAATCTATTCGTATGAACGTAATAATTTTGTTTTTCAAGCCCAATATAAAAAATCCAGGTTCTTAGCACTGATTGTCTTTCTCTGAACCTTGAATAGGCATACTACTTACGACTTGATAGCCAATATTGTGCATGATGGTCCCCCAACTCCTGGCTCCGGTACGCATCGTATCCACTTAGTACATCGTGGTACTGGAAAATGGTTCGAGCTACAAGACTTGCATGTTAGCGAAGTCTTGCCACAGATGATACCGCTTAGTGAAACTCTTATTCAGGTAAGTAATATTCACTTCATATTTTTTAAAAACGGAAATGTTTTCAATAAGTGATTTATAATCTATGTAAGAATCCTTTACTAAAACTTTTATCATATTTTTTTTACTTTTAACTAGGTTTGGGCTGTGAATAAGTCTATACCTAATCCAAGCTTTGTAGAGCCTGTAAAAGTAATAGATGAGGAGATTGGTGAAGAAACTAAGCCAGAGGTTAAAACTGATGAAAACGAGGAGTGTGAAGAAATTAAGAAGGAAGAGACTATGGATACAGACAATAATAAACCACAAGACTGATTCCTGTCACTTTTTATCGACTTTACCAATAATATAAATTACTGATAAATATTAAGACTTACGTGTTTGTGAACGGAATCGGAAGAGTATCATCCGATTACGCGCGAAGACTAACCGATTTTCATCACATGACTCAGATGAATTTTTTCGGAGGATGGAGTTTCCTGTCTTGCCATACGATCACTGCTGCACCTTTGAGATGACGTTTGACACAGTAGCACCTTCAAAAAGTTCATACTGCTACTGCAGCACGCATTAAACCAAACTGTGAGTCGGCATTACATTAAACCCATTTACTAAGTAATATTTAGAAACTACTTTACTTACTACAGGCTAAATAGTACTACTTGTTATAACAGAAGTGTCGTTGGCGGTCTGGTAACTTAATTCATGGTTCAAGTATTCAAACAAACTTCGTAAACGTTATTCTTGGAATCAATAGGTAACTAGTTCGTTTCGAAATACTAATGCACTAAGCAAATCGAACCTAGAAATGGGAGTACAGAGCTCTTTCATATAACACCGCTTTTTTAATAGAATTTCCACGCTGCCACCAGAAGTTATGAGACGGTGAAGTTCGTTGTAAAGATTGAAATTCGGAAGTCAGTTTTACTAAGAATATACTTGTAAACACAGATAAAGATGGTCATATAACAATTGGAATGTATACTTGGTAGTCACATGAAGCTAAATAATTGAGATCAGTTTCTAAATATAATATTGCACTTCAATAAAAGTAAGCTTGTAGATTAATGGGATCGGATTCTAGGTTGTATTGCCGGGGGACTCTTCTTCAACTGCAGAAGGAGCACACGCATCCTGTTCAAGTCTCGCTGATTATCCTTCGTATTTATCGGGACGGTGTGAACGTTTGTTGTTTCTTCGTTACCAGAAGTGACGAAATTACACAACTGGCAAACTTTTTCCCATAAAACAGCTTGGCCAGCGTCCACCTGTGACATTCTGGCTGATGCTTCTGCAGCTTTTTGTCGAGCACTTTGAAGTTCTTTGTCATGAGCGCGGCTGAGTTTTTGTCCTCGAGCAAGAGAATCGCGGTACTGAAGTGCCCACTCATGCAAATCCTTTTTAAAGAAACAAAGATAGCAGTGTACCATAGAGACAAATACACATATATGTAGCCCTATAGGTGCAAAATATACTAAGCATCAAAAGTATGGGTCTAATGTTATTTGGGGAATTATAATTTTTGGACGAACTAACCAGATTTAAGATGACAGGTCTTGAATTATAACGCGAAATTTACTCAACAAAAGGCCAAATAGCATGTTGGCGTCATAGCTGACGATGAAGACCCTAACGCCCAACTGTAAATCCTGGTTCCACACTTAAATGCAGTAAGTAGACGGCCATTCTCAAGGTCTCCTATACATTATAAACTCGCAGTAATTTGATGGGTAGACGTTTGTAGTGTTTAGACTAGTAAATCGAAGGGAACTTTGCTTCCCTCGATCAATTTCATGATAAACACCTTCTACATCGTATATTAGCATGTTTGTCCTTTCTCCTTTGTCTACAAGCATTGTTATTTTCACTTTTTATACATGCCTGGTCTTGCTGAGATTCAGCTACGGTGTCGTGAATAACGAGGACTTGAAGTGAGGTATTCTTATATCTAGTCTTGGGTTGTAGCATCCTTTTGGGTAATTCCTAAACTCTTTATGTGAGTAAAGTCGGAGGATACAGTATCAAGTCACATAAATCAGCACTTGTGAGATTACTTGTCCGTAATATATGATTGTTAATTAAACGGAATTTGTTTTCAGCACTATTGAAACTAAGTAATAACGATATGTCTAAAACTACTACTGTATACAACTAATATAATCTCTAACATCAAGAAATCAACTGGGGATGTCGAATAAGTCTAGAAGTATAAGTTTATATCGATTATCCATTTCCTTGCTATGATTTTAAGCTCGGAATGACTGGTTGTGTCGAAAACCTTGAGGCCATGTGAGAACTATTCCCCAGCAAAGTGGCTCAAGCGTTTACCTATCGTACCTGTCTTTTGGTATTCCGAATGTCGCATCAAACAACTGGAGAATTATTTTCACGTTATTAAAATATAAATAGGTTTTACTTTTGAATAATATAGTTTGAAAGTTCAGCGTATAATACCTTTACGGTATAACTATTTTAGTTTCTAACTGACATGTACTTGGGAGCAAAGTGTATTGGCTCTATAGGCACTGAAAGTAGCGAAACACGGATATAGATACGTGAGTCAGAAAGCCACTCAGGATAAAATGGTGAAAGTCCTATAAGAACGTGGGACAAATAACTACAAAACACTGAGAGACCTAATTACATCTTCAATGAAGTTAGGTGTTTTCAGAGGAGAAATCTGTTAAGATCGACGTGCAGCATCATACTTCATCACACAAAACTTTCGTGTAGAGTTGGGAGAAGCAATGGTAGTACTTGCCGGAAACCAAGCAAACTAATTTGGGGACGTAATCCTGATTCGTTCGTTTCTTTTAAAAAGTCAGTACTGGTTGCATATTAGACAATTGTCCAAAATGAAGGAGGGATTTATAGTTATGAGCGACTACGTATATAAAAAGGAGTACGGTCAAACTACACATTGAAAATCACTTTGAGTCCTTGTTCTTCTAGCATGAACATGCTTTTACGTTCAGCATCGTCTTTGACCTCTATCCGCTTCTTAAAACTTATGGCCCAAAGTTTTACGCACTCCGGTTCCTCGTTTACTTGAAGGTGTTCAGCAGCATTATTCTCACCTAAATAATATGGTGTTTTTGAGTGTAGTACAAACCATTTGGTGTAAAATCTAAATCGTCTTCTAGCCCGCGCAATTCTTCCTTTTCTCTTACTAGGAATTCATGAAGAGCACCATCTGCTGACATTTTCAAACACGACACACCAAGCACTGACCTTGTCGTCATATTACGCCATTAACCTAGTCAAAACTGATCATAAATAGCCCGATACATATCCAGCTAAGATTGATTCCATTTTTGATACTAATCGTATTAGGACATTTAGTCTGTCATATGGTCATGTTGCAACCTTGTAGATTTGAAACGGTCATTATCACGTTTCTGTACCAAACAATATTCGAAAGGACATTACTCTGAGATAAAAAACATTCAATATTCCTGAAAAATACATGAAAACATATTGGTTTCAGGTTGTAGGCCGCGAAATTTACTGATAAAAGAGCGTGCGTTTACAGTTCGTGATTCAGAATGTATGTTTCCTGTTCTCTTTAAATCCAACGATACAGAAGATTACACTTGACTGTTCTCTTCGTTAAATCCATATGATATTCCAACCCAATTTTTCCTCTCACGATCTTGAAGTACCAAGGCAACGTTAATGTATTTCAGTGACTAAAAACGCTTAGTTAAAGTAGATCTCATGAGACTATCACTTCGTCACTACTGTAAACCAAAGTTGGGAGGTTAATAGTAGCTCGTCATTAAGATATGGGGTGTTAAGTAGAGCAATTAAGACCACTATTGGGAGGGATGTCGTAGTGATCCTCCAGGTCTTAACCTTTAAAAATCGGGATTTCCAAGTTATGGTAGAGATGTCAGCTTTTTTAATCAAATTTTCAAGGTCCGATTCTTTGATTTGACGTATGAGAGTTAAAAAGTATATCTGAACTTCGTACTTGCTTTCCTGGAGACGGCGCTTATGAAATAAAAGTAGATAGGTGGATGTGACAATTGTCTGATAATTTGCCCAGCTATTTCTCAAAAATACATCTAATAGTAGGACCCTAATGACTGTAATTGAGCATGTTTTGCTCCGTTTCAGTTCAAACCAAAAGTTTTTATTGTAAAATTTAGTAAGCCTTTACATGACCGATTACCTTTCCTGTTTTTGTATTATTTCACGTTACTTAATAGCGATCATACCGTTTTATCACTTAAGTTTACTGCTTGAAATATAGTCTATGATCAAGTGTGACCTCGCTCAAACACTTGCTAAGCAAAATTATCGGCTATCCAGTGGTGTGGTGAAGCAGTGGACTGAATAGTAGATGCTAGCCCATTAATTGAAGAGGCTTGGTCTATGTTTAAAGGCATAATTAACTTGGTTATCATGCTTATCACCTTATAGACCTAATAACTGTTCTCGAAGAATAACCAGAGGGGTCAAGAAACGTCTTTGAGGCAGGGAAAAGCAATGGCATTTATCTCTACAGATGCTGTACAGTTCTGATTCGCTTATGTTCAGACCAGGACTGCATGGAAAGAGTTGACAAATAAGGCTAGATTCTTGCAGGAAAACGATGTGTTATGGACTTTGAAAGTATTTCAAAAAGGTCATTCCCATACATGAAAATATAAACTCCGAAAGGTGTCAGGATTTCCCCACTTGAGGCACAGTAGAATCCTATGACAAGTGGTTATATTGACAAACATACATTTTTACTTAAGTGTTTTAGCGGCATTTTTCCAAGAATAGTATTGAATGACCTAACAACAACTAAAACAGTGGCCATCCGAATCTTAACCACATGGTCTTCCTAAGGATACCTCATTATCTCAGACAAGATATGTTCAGTAGACCTGATGATATTCATCATCGGATTATTGAGACCCTTGAGCATGTAGAAATTCTGGTAACTGCGTTTGAAGTGTCTCTGATGCGTTTTTTAATTGTTAGATTTAGTCAGCCCGGTTTGTAGGGCTAAGAATAAATAATTACTACTTATTGACACATTCAGAGAGGCCACAAGTATTCGGAGTTTGACAGTGCCTTTACCTGTAATACCTTAATAATCGAAGTATACCGACCCAGTGAAATCAGAAGTCAGGAGTGATGAGGTTCGAAGATATATTTGAAAGGCTATCAGCATATCGGGAAGCGTTTAGTCTAAGCTCGCTAATGATTGTAGGAGATGCAAAACACGGCGCACTCGCTCGTGATCTGGTTCGGATGCTTGATCGAGCGCCTTCAGCTAGTGTATTTCCAGTAAAACTAATGAGGTTATCACCAATGTCGAGGACTTACAAAACTATTTGTTTCGGAGATTTATTTACCGCCACACATCATTATGATCACTGTGGTCTTCAAGCCATCGGATAGGATTATTTGGACAGTTTTTCAAAACTTTGTGGGTGGGAATACCGGACGTTTGTACTGCTGCATTTGGACTACAGGATTCGAGCTGCGTATCGCTGTTTCCAATGTGAAGTGAATAATCCAGAACAGGATTAATTGCGAGGGACTTTAATGGTGAAACGTTTCACCACAGACTGATGAGTCTTAACCTTTCTCCATTATCCTACAGCAGTTGAATTCCGTGTCAGAAATCATTACATCAACACTTTATTTCGATACATCCATAGTGAGACTGGATTTTTAGAGTGCTACAAGATGTGAAGCGTAACACAATTCATTTGACCCCTATCATTAATACTGATAAACAAAGATGGAATAGTGAACATTTTTTGGCATACATGATCTTCACTGCACCATCGCGGTCAATCATTGTGGTGTGCTTATGTAAAAAGAATTGAAATTGACCAGTGAAATTCATTGATGTGCTACATAGTCTGATAAAAAAGCCGCTTCGTTTGAAATGTATGGCAGCGGATGCTGTTATGCGAACTATGATTCAGGTACGTCAGTGAACGTCATATCAAACTCTTGCAAGCTTGATGAGACCCAAGTACCTGACGTGGCTGCATGGCTATTTGTTTAACAGTGTAATTTGAAGTAACAGACATGCCTAAATTAGGTGATAATAATTTCTGGCGTAGGTTTGAAAGCCAACCTTATTTAATCTTATGGTAGAAAATGTACTTAAGAAGATTTAATATGACAATAACTGAAGTTTCATGGTAATGAATGTGTTACTGATTTTTAATGAGCAAACCATCAGCAGTGTATTGCATATTTTCATTGACTGTTAACTAAATCTGTGCTTCAGTAATGTGATTAAGCTGAAGGCTTAAACTGATGATTAAAGCTAACTACTTAATAAGGGCCATGAGAATGGTTCACGCAGCCACAAGTTGAACTTTATACATACGTTTTTTCCTTGTAGGAAGATCTAAATTATTCTGAAGCATCAGTAAATTACAGGAAAAGTACCAGTGAATATGCACGTAAGACTTTCTTTAGCTACGCCTATCTATTGGCCATGTCACTCAAGTCAATATAGTCCTGTATAGTCCAGTGTAGTCATGTTACAAAACCAAATTATAAGGTTAACTCAGGAAAGGAGTTAAATAATAAATGACTAGTCAAGGAACATCATCAAAAATACAAAATACCTCAAACGGTACAGTCAGAAGTTTCTCTAACGCAAAGTAGCGCGCTAAACAATGAAAAAGACAGTTAATACTAAAGGGTTTGATACCTGAGAATTCATACAAATATTCCCAACAAGATGGGATCAAATATCTATCTGCAGGGATTGCAGCAATTCTCCCAAGCAGACAGTCAGAAGGTTAACAATCACAAACAGAACCACGCCGTGACCTTGAGCTTAGTCAAACGCGACCCTACAGTCAATGGTCCGGCAACATGCAATAGAAAATTAGGTAACAAAAGATAAGTCTCTAATCAAAATCACATAATAAAGGCCCAAACGGGGAAGACTTAAGAACAAAAGATATGGTTAAACGAGATCGGAACAAAGATTGGAATACACAGGAGGGAGAAGGAACAAATAAATGAAAATACTGTTCAACAAAGAAGCTGCAGAGGGATTTTCATCGTTTTCTTTCCGTTACACACTCTATATTTACAATCGATCACAATCAGCATTAGCGGTCCAGAATCTTTTGAGCACTATTTTTATTACAGTATTCCTTTGTAATAAGGAACAATTTTATTAACCATACGTTTTGAAATACACATCCTGAAAGTGAAAGAAGGTTCTCAAGTAAAGTAAGTATAGAACATAAACTAAAAATAGAAACAGCAAATCACTGAAAAGTCAATGAGATATGAAAACTGTCTGAAAGCATGCTGCTGTTGAGAATATCCAGCGTATTGAAGAAAACTTCAGAAATTTTCTTGGAAACATGAGTTATTAACTTATAGGTTTTTGAACGTTCTGTTGTTTTCAGACAACTATGAGATAATGTAAAACAACATGTAAACCGAAGATTAAGGTGACAGAAATATTATAAAGTCAGTGAAATGTTAGTGGGTCCTAGTCAGTCGAGTCATCAGATTTCGAACAGCTCACCGATCCTCGTCAAGGCCAATGATAGTTAACACACATTAATGGACTGCACATCATAGTCTGGCCCATGCGTTGGTGGTGTATTCTGTTCCTTGTACTTAATCTTACTACTGCATTTCTGCGATAACGTTTTGTATTAAACGGGCATCAAAGCGGCTATGGTACCTGGATACGATGGAGGGTTAGTCCATGTTAGATACTAGTAGTACTAGTAGTACACAGAAGTGCTACGCACCAACCTCCCCAACTGACTACTGATGGAGAAGACAAGAGTAAAAGAAAAAAGTCAATTTTCTGCCTATGCATAAATACTCACTTATGTACACATTTGTATGTTTCACCTCTCAGAGAATTAGTTCATTTGTTAGCCAGTGAAATGCGATTGTCCTCTAGAGCATTTCTGATTGGCACCAAGTGAGCTCATTCAGATACTTCTAATTGACCGACTATATCGAATTTCACCGTACAGCAATGTACAAACAGATTGTGGAAAAAAACTAATATTGCACTCATAGTGACAGGCCCTACGGAAATTTCCCCCAATACAGGTATAATATGACTTTATTCTCCCTTAGAAATGATTGAGTAATTCGCTGTACTAAGTATCTAACATCTTTGTGATGAGCTTATATGGATTAACCGTTTCCTTTGTCTTCGATTCCAATGTTTAAGGGACAGTTGTTTTGATCTCCTAGCCTATCATTAGATGTTAGTTTATCAATTAATCAACACAAATCCTGATGAAATCATAAAGTAATGAGTGGTACTGAGGAACAAACTCCCCAAGACAGATAGTCTAGTACTTATTTATCATATTTTGACGAGGTTAAGGTAATGAGGACGATAGGTCTGTAGTGTGGCGTCGAGTAGCGGTTGACTATGATCATCACTACAAGAAGGTTGCTTACCAGACATCAGAAGGTGATTGGAGGTTGTAGCGATATATATTTGTTGGCGATCTCGTGTTATCGAAAGAATACCGAGATCGTGCCAAAGGAGTACAAACGGAATCATTGAGCAAACGTAAGTGCGTGCAAGGTCACAAGCAACGGAAGAAGGTATGTCTTTAGTACAGTTAAACAAACAAGTGCAGTAAAACAATCACTGGTACAATTGGTTATAATAATAATTGTCTCCATTACACCAATCGCGTTCTCTTGATAAAAGTAGGTCACTACAGGTCTAACATTCCAAACAACCCTCTATAGTTTGCTATTGAGAAACATTTCTTTTGTCGGCGGCATATCTAGCCCTAGTAACCTGACGCTATGTACAATAGAAAATGATATTTCTCTCCCAAACACTAACATTTTCATTTTTGACTTTATGCACACTGTTTTCCAAAATGAAACGTAAAACGTTGGTATACGTAAAGTGTGATCTTTCCATATCAAGTCGTTCTAAGAGCCATTCGTTCTTACCAATCTAGACACCAATTTAGTTACTGCTCTTGTAGTATAGTTCGGCAAACTGATAGTGTCTTGTAAACAAATCAATTATTGTCTATATTCTGAAAGCACTTTTGTAAACAGATTGAGTAAGTCTTTTCGGAAGTAGAAGATTGTTTAAACCAGCATCCCTGAACTTAATAAATGCGCAGACTAACCATCCGGATTCCTCCCGTCGTTCAATTGCTAAATGTGAGTCGCACCTAAGCACGGAGGGGCACGAGAACTTTTGGTGCTTTTTATTAAGGTGAACACATTGACATGGACTATCTCGAAGGTTATTTGCATTCAGTATCGGATGCTCCAGTGATTTGAGCGGGATTTTTTAGGGCATTTTATAGATAAACACATCATTTCTAGAAATCGTTCTCCTAGTAACTTCGTTTGAAATGTAATCGATAGCAGGTGCCGCTTCGACAATGTTCTCATGCTCTATAGTAACCACGTCTTTCGACAATACTAGTTTAAGGAGTGATAGAGCCTTTATTTATTGACTAATGTTACCATGCATTAATGTAAGATCCACAAGTGACTACATGTAAAAACTCATTCCGCTTAATCGCTAATATGTAATGTCTAATTAACTTTTTATATTATCGATGATAATGGAACGCGTTAGTAGAGACTGAGATATCTAGTGGCATGTAAGGCGTAATTCGAATCTTAATATTATCGGTTGCAAAGACAGTTAGTGGGTATGGTGTATATGTTATAACAGAGCTGCTATTATCCGAAGAATTAGTACTTTTCCGGACCCTTTTCTTCTATAAATGACCCATTTTTGATATTAGTGTAAATTGTAATGCTATATATATCCGTTATATATCATTATTTAATAAAAAAAATATGTATACTTTTTATCAGATACCGTATTATTGTGACGTAAAGATTAAACGTACCGCGAAAACGGGCAAATAATCAACTGAAAAGATTTACAAGTTATATAGACGTGTTGATAACATTTACTGAGCCAAAATAATGAAAATTAAAAGAAATAAATTAATTGATATCAATATGTACTTTGATTTCACTCACTAACTGAAACCAAATGAACATTGGTATGACTTTTAAAGTCACTTAGGTTGAAACGATGAAATGGTACTGCATTGATTTTTTAAATTGTGGTGGTTCCCAAACAAAAGGAGCTTATACAAAATATATCGTCACACTAGGCTATTAATGATATATCAAGAAAATTAATAGGAAAGAAACCTAGATGTCTGTCCGTTAGTAAAGCCAAAGTTAACAAAATACCGTTGGCAATACAAAAGGTATATTAAACAAACAGACACTAACAGTTACTATAGAATGAATGTTACTTGTGAACTGCCTCGTGAGAACAACGACCACAAAATGAGTTCACTTGATTGACAGGTGTTCCTCTGCAAGTGACTGCACTAATGACGTAATAAGGAAGACGGAGTCCAATAGTATTATACAATAGTAATCCGCGCCAAAAGTCCAACGTTGAGTCGGAAGGCCTATAATGATATTATGATAGTATTATAGTCTTCAATCAAAACGGTGGCCAATAAAACAGAAGAACAAACGGCGTAGACAGTGTTCTATATTTTAAACAACGCGGTAGTAAAATCGTATATCATTCATCGAAACAATTATCATCGTCTTTTAAACAAGTGATACAGCAAAACAACAGATATTGAATAAAAATGTGGTTACAAATAAAGTGTGACAAATTAGAGAAAAAATGTGGTTTTTATTTTTGTTGTTACAAAAATCACTGAATATATGTCACCATAAAATAAAGGATTTTGTTGTACAGCAAACTCATCAAAGTTTAAATTGTAAGCAGATGAATTATGCATCATTAGGTCAACATTTCTCGCACACCACTATATCAAACTGTTCAAGTTTTGATGATATTTACGATACTGGATGTATATTGTCAAAGTACCTCAAGTTAAAATGAAATAGCTGCCTAATATTTTCTAGCTAATAATAGCTCTTTAATTGACGTCAGTTTATAAGTATATATTTAAGATGTCACAATAACGTCAGTTCTGTCTGTTGAATAATGTCAGGTAACACAATGGTCATAAAAACCAAGCTAAGCACATACGTATTTTATTTTGGTTTATTAGCATACCTAAAACTGGTCAAAACGCAATTATATATGTCGATATTGTTTTATTAGCTATCCCAGTATTGTGATGTGTAGATTTGTAATAGAAGTTAAATTCATAGCCTAATATAATCGTATTTTTCATCATGACGACTTTCCATCGTTTTATTTTTCTTTCCAGCTTGATTATTTTACGCTTAGGATTAATATCAACCACATTAATATTATATGACTAATTATATTAATAGTTACTAAGTAATTAAACTTAAATGCCTGTATATTCCATTAAGTACTCAAATAAGTAGTATGGATAGATAAGAAATAAGAATCAAGCAAACTGTATTTGTCATAAAGAAATGATATATTTATCTACTTGAGTAATCAATCGTATTTACGAATCAAGTTATCAAAACTGTCTGTTTCGATAATTGCTGTTCGCAAGAAATATTTACAAAAGTTGCTGTAATTGAAGTTAGACATTGCCCTGGTATGGCCGAGAGTGAGGAGAGTCAGCTCTGTCTCTCAAAATGCTCTCCCATGACCATGTGTATACGACCGCTTCTAGGGAAGCCCTACTCACTGCCTCCTATTTGCGGGAGTGTTGTTTATGAAATTGTGGGGACGAAAAGCGAATGTCCGGCGTTTTAACCAGGTTGGTGGATATTAAGGATTCACCTGGGGGAGTTGGAAAACCTGATTCCAAACCAGTGGCGCACATGGGCTCCAAGATCCTGAGGCAACAAATGGCGTATGAACCAATCGTTGGTCACCGGCTACCATGGGACTGCATCTCCTGACGTCGCACAACTGCCATATGGATCAGAGATTTAAGTCAAAGGTTCTGGGTGTGACCCCCTAAGAAAACTGCCTACTTCGGTTTGGACACCCGACCAGTATCCCAGCCCTCACGAAAACCAAATGATTTACGTGGCGCATATCCATTTGGTGCCTCCTTGTACCAATGTTTATGTGATTAAACAATTAACATTAAATCGAATACTCGTGAGCAAACTAATTTACAAATATGAAAATCTTGAACAAATACCTTAAGCTTTCGTACTGTCGTTTAAAGATCTCCGTCATATTAAAAGACTAGTATTTGAACGAAGAATATTCTTTTTGATAAATTTTCTTCAGGTTCTACAATTATATATCCAAATTATTAATCCGGAAAATGACCAGGTTAAGGGCAAAGTATATCGTTTAGAGCATGTGAATTTAGGATTGTGATAAACAAAATACAATAAAATTGTTAATGTTAATATGACTCATATAGAATGTTAACTTGAATCTGCGTATATGTTAATTAAAATTTCGTACTGTATTTGTTTTATCAACAGTTTTACATCGAATTTTTCATAAGACCCCTTTTTATTTCATCTTTACCGAAACAGAAACATTGGATAATATAAATTATTTGTAAGAGTTTGTATTTTATTTTTGTTGATGCTCAGGATATACTTCAAAAATGGAGTGACCTAAGCCAGTGGTTACCTGAACTCAACAGCTCAGTGGATAACTCATTAGAAGTTTGAAAAAGAAGGAAATTGATTTCGGGTCTTAGCATGAACGACAAAACTGAGGTTGAGGTATATCTAGCTGACAAGTTTCAAATAGCACAAAACATTCATTGTGAATTAAACTGCGAGCTACTATTAAAACTTGGCTTAATATTAATAATATAGTTTACTATGTAGTATAACATAGCATTCTTGGTAAATCGTCTTTCTATTCCTAATCAAACAAAATGATTTCTCACATGAATTTTCTTCTGATTTATATACACTCGGAATTTAAAAATTAAAAAGAAATTATAACATTTATCTTCATTATATGAATATTCCACTTGAAGGTCATCAAATCACATAGATCATTTCTATTGGTAGAAACTATGCCGTTGTAATATGACTACATATGATTGGAGCTTTTAGATCTTAACACATTTCAATTGTCTTTACATTTATTAGTTATTTTTATTATTGTTATGTTCATCTTATAAAATGAATATTGTTTTACTCACTACATGTGCCGATTTCCCTATATATATATATAAACTCAAAAATACAATAGAATAGAAAGTAAATACTATAGGTTTATTTATTTATTTTGTACAGCCAACTATAAATAAATAAATATCCAATAGACATTTAACTTTCCCGCTATTTAAAAAGGAAATAAACTAACGTGTTGGTAACAACTAATACTATTTCTTTGTTAAAAATGATAGGAAAAAATTTTTTGGATTATTAAATATTACTGGTTGATAAAAAGAAAACAAAACAAACAACGTACCCCTAGTATAATACTAATAGTAATAATAATAATAATAATATGGGTTCAGAACAAAGTCGTCCAACTAGTAATAAACAAAAAAAATCAAGTTTAACTTGGAATTCACAAACTATCGTAAAAACAAATAAAACTTCAATAAACAATATAAAACCAAGAGAAAATTCTATAGATTTATTGAATAATCAAAATATAAATGATGATCATATAAATTTACAAAATATACCAGAAGATAAATCATTTCGACAATTATTTTCTGATTTAGAATTGGATGTTTTATTTTCTACATGGCCATTATTATCACAAAATCCAATACGTACTGGTTGTTTAATATTTAAAAATGCATTTGAAATTCATCCAAAATTATCAACATTTTTTCCGTTTGGGTAAGTTTCATTTGAATTTAATAATGAATATAAATAATATATGATATTGACAAATAATGATATGATTTTATAAGCTAAAATTCAGTGTAAATTCTATGTGAACATTTAATTCTAAGATGTAGGTACATCCAGCTGATGAATGTGAAATAGGACGAAACGCATGTCATGGATTCCACTACTAGCTACTAATCATCTTTGCTTATAATTTTAACTGGTTTACGAATTACTGATTTATTACAGCAAAAGGAAATTGATGCACAGTATAATTATTTCCGAAATTTGTACATATCCATGATCTTATTGTAAGGTGATTAAGATGTTTCAATATTTTGAAATTAGAGTATTTAAACAAAACGTTAGTTTAATGATTGATAATTTAAATGATAGTTCATTCTTATGAATTAAAATGATTGATTTCATCTTGATTAGAATTACGTAATCGTTTAAAGTGATTAATCAGATCTTTTTATTTAAGAAATGTTTCAAAAGATCAACTACTTAGTCTTCTTTGGCATTTTAATATAAATAAAGCTAATTACCATATAATTAATGAATGAGAGTTGTTTGAAAGAAAATAAACATTATATCATTTGTATGAAATATTTTAAAATGGAAACAATGTGTAGCGGTAAATAAATCCTCAAAATCAATAGCTGTGTAAGTCTTCAATATTTGATGCTGACCATATTAGTTTTAATGGAATCAGCTTACTGAAGGCATTCGATCACGTAACCACACCAGTCAGTCAGTCAGTCAGCTACAACGTAGGACCAGGCACATATGTGCATCGGTCCAGGTTGCCATACCTTATTAGCACAGCAAGATGAACACCGGATTCATAGCAGTGGTTAGGTCAAAGGTGGTAATATATAGGAGAAAGATTGCATATAGAGATACATACAGGAATAAAGAATTAGTTCGTAGAAAGAAAGATATGAAGCGATTTTAATCTCACGGTTTAAAGGAAGACAGAGAGTGTATACACCTACGCAATTGTGATCGATTCTGAGCCATGTCACCAAGGGTCTCCAACCATTGGTTACGATAGTCACGTGGACCCCAACCAAGTAGTTTGCATCTACCAACATGGCTCAGACCAAAAGTTAGTGACTTCAAGCACTGATGCCACGTTTTGGTTTGGCCGTCCCTAACTTTCTTCCAACCATCTCCAACACCGGTTAGCATTGCACGTCGTAGTAATCAGTGTTCGAGCATACGTAGCACGTGGCCCATCCATCTCAATCGATGAAGATTCATAACCTCATCAACTGATTTACCATCATTACCTAATACCCTGCGTCTAACCTCACTATTACTTACTCGGTGATCCCAACAGACGCCAGCAATATTTCTAAGGCTTCTGTGGTCAAATACTAGTAGCTTACGGGTGTCTTCTACTCTTAAAGGCCATGTTTCGCTGCCGTAAAGTAAGACAGAACGGACTGCCGCGCAGTATACTCGTCCTTTTATTGATAGACGGATATCTCGCCTTCGCCATAGGTGACGTAAGTTGGCAAAAGCCAAACGAGCTTTCCGAATCCGTGCTGAGATTTCGTCCGATACCAGCCCATTAGGGCTGATCAGACTTCCAAGATAAGTGAAGTTGTCAATGCGTTCGACTAGTTCACTCCCTATCCTTAGTTCAGGTGTTGACGCAGTCCAGTCCTGAAGCAACAACTTGCATTTAGAGGGAGAGAAGTAACCACACCAGATCACGAGTAAAATTATTTTCAATTCCTAATGTTTAAATTGTATTAACAATGTGGAAAAATTAACTTCTGTTATTGTTTAATGGACTTATTCATGACTATACAAGTTTAACAATGTGGTAAAATAATAATCGGTATGAATATTTAATACAATATGCAAAGAAATAAGACCATTGCTTAAATATTGTAATATCCGGTTATAATAAACTACAATCAGGAGAAATTTATCCCAATTTGTCAGATTCACAAGATGATAAGAAAAACTAAAAATGATCTGTTAATGTCTTGGATTTTTCGAGGTATTCTAAGATGAAGTTGATTATATAAGTCATTTTAACCAGTAAATTAAAAAAAAAAGAGTTCAAAGGGAGAAAATGACATTTTCAGGAGTTTACAATTAATACTTGCCTAACAATTTTGATAATTTTAATTCATCTTTCACCTATAAATGAGAATAGTTATGAGTAGAAAGAAAAACAAATTTTTATACTTCTAAACAATCAAAATTCAATCTTGACGTTTTCATACTTACACTTAAGAGTAAATAAAAGGTTAATTCTTAGACAATGTTGAACTGGATAGCTATTCAGTCCTATACTAGAACTTAACAGCTATTCAAAATTTCTTCTTGTCGAGTGATTGTTTTAATAAAGTCAGTAAAAGTATAGATGAAATTTCAGTCGATAAGACAGTGAAATACTTTTGAATTATACTGATATGATTGTAAAAGTACATATCAGTAGATCCTCCCACTATAATGAACTTCATGTTTTCTAAAATTCACAAAGTATATTTGTTGGAGTATTATGCTAAAATAACGTGTATAAGAATTTATTGAATTATTCTCTTGAACATACCAAACATTTTTTAGTTGACGACTCAAATACAGGACTTTCATTTTCTTAAGTATTATCTTTTATTGCAAGAAATGACAGTCGAAACACCATATACGTGCCCATTTATATAATTACATAAATTTTCAGTTTGAGGTTAAGGATATTATTGAATTTCATTGAAATCATGAACCCATTAATGTTAGACCACTAAACCACTGGACGGTCGTTTTTTCTTAGTGTGGAACACCTCAGTAGTACGCATCCACGAACCCGCACGCGGGATTTGAACCTAGCACCTTTTGTCTAACATTGATCGGTACATGATTCCCGTAAAAGTCAAAAACATCAGCAATCCTAAAGTGAAAATTATCATATCCTCACCAGTGAATAGCTTTGAGAAGGAATTCTCAGAGTTCTAGTGAGAATTCGTGACTAGTAGAGTTCAACATTGCTGAATATGAGGCAGTTACCCACAAAAGACAATGAAAGATGGTCGCGCAACATTATGGATTGACTGAAGTCAGACATTAACACTATCGTATCCTGGCTCAGTGATCTAGATATTAAGTGTTCGTACGAGACCGAAGGTCCTGGGTTCAAATCTTGCATACGTGATCATGGATGCGCACAGTTGAGGTGTTCTATAATAAAACTTAACGATCGTCTAATGCTTCCAGATTTTCAATTGTGGTCTAAAATTAATCAGTTCATGATTTCAATGGATACATTTTACTGCTTGTTAAATATTTTTACTATAAATCCTTAGAAAGAGAGTTAAATTAGTAGCATGTCATCGAAAGATACATTTTTCACAAAACTATTTACTTTACTTAATATACCATTTGTTCCCGCTTACATAATCTGTTTATATTTAGGTATTTCATTGTTATACATTTCGTCTAAATATTTTGTCCTTTAATCTTTCACTCACTTAAATCACAGAACATGATATGAGGATTAATTAGATCATAATCAATATGATTCAATGTTTAAAACACAAAACATATACAATTATTTTTAACTAGATTTTCTGATTTTCAAGATAATATTAATGCCTTTAAAAGATTGTACAATTTCATTGGAGCAACAAAACCTAATCTAAATGATATATGACTTTATCAAGTATAATAGTGAACGAGAATACAAGTGCGGAACAACTAAACGTATATGAATACAAAATGACAGAATGTTTTAGTAAAATATGAGAATCATACAATAAATACTTCATTTGTGAAATGTCAATCAATCGTCTCAGACTTGATTGTTCTTTCATCTCCACACTAATCATTCTTTATTCTCGTTCTCTTCTCTTTAACCTTCTACCTTTAGGCATATCATTTTCTATTGATGTTACATACTACTTAAATCTGTTGACATCACTAGCACACACCACAGTATCATTAGTTGATTACTTATTTTCTCTACAATATAACTGAATTTATGAAGATTGTAGAATTTGTATAAACATGTTCAATATCTACAAGTTGAGTTATTAGCACTTTTTATTTAATTTTTTTCATGAATAGAACTCTCAACATCAGATAAATTAATATTGAATTTACATGGTGATTATTAGAAGAAGTGATTTTCATCATTCAGAGAATCCTTTTCGTTTTTTTTGAAAAAACAATCCAATCGTTTATAAATCTATGGATGCGAGATTGTGAACGAAGTAATAAACATAATTTTCTTACATTTCCTGTTACGCAATATAAAATGATCAAATTTACATTAGTCTATACTAATGATAAATATATTTTCATTTTGTCTAGACTACAATTGAATGGACTAAATACAAAGGGTTGATAATAAGGAGATAGTTATCCGGATTATATGAATAAATAAAAATTATGTTCAAAGAAAGAAAGAAAAATACAAAACAGATGAATAATGTTATGTATAGGCACTTTTGATCTTATATCTTTATAGTAGTTATTTGAATGTATACTACAGTAAAAATTACAATAATTTTATATTACACTGGTTCAAATCATGAATCAATTGAAGCTAGACCACCATGCAAAACCTGGAAGCACTGGACGGCCGTTTCGTCCTAGTACCGGACTCCTCAGTAGCGCGCATCCACGATCCCGCACCCCGTGAGATTCGAACCCAGGACCTTTCAGTCTTGCGCCAGGAGCCGGCCAGTGAAATTTCTAAAATCTCCATAAAACTCCTTCCGATAATTTTATTTTACACAACTTGTATATTTACTTTTGATATAACTTAGGAACTATGAAAATGTCATAGTTTATTTACTTTTAAATTTATACTGTTGGTTAATTACAATTTTTAACTGTGAGTTATTTACATTTTTCTTGATATTGATCTTATCATTACTTCGCAGTATCTCCAAGTGGTTAAGTGTGATATAACTTAGATCGGTTCATGATTTCAATGAACTTCAACAAACTATATTCATACTGATAATATTGTTCTATTTAGAATGTAACGT